TGTTATCTTTTTTTTTATTATTATTATTCTCACATGAGGACATTTTTTGCATTTATCTTGAGAGAGAGAGGAGGGAGGGAGAGAGAGAGAGAGGGAAACATCGACATGTGAGAGACACATTGAGTAGTCGCCACCCACACGACCCTAACCAGGCCGGGGACAAACCGTAACTGAGGTACATGCCCTTAGTGGGAACCAAACCCGGGCCTCTTTGGTCCATGGGCCGACGCTCTAACCGCTGAGCCAAACCGGCCAGGGCCAAATCACGTTATCTTAATGACACGAAGGAGAAGGAAGAGACCACAATGAAAAACGACCCTGAACTATCCCTGAAGAGTTACACTTAGGAATTATTTACTAGGACAGAAAAATATGAGGCACACATTACATAGCTTCCTTCAGAAAAGTTAAAAAAAGAAAGAAAAGGTTAAAATGAAATGCAAGTTTTGACATTTCCAAATAATCTTTTTTTCTGTCCAGAGAAAGAATTATTAAATGCCATAGTCCCTGCTCAGTTTTTCAATGTAGGTCAACTGTGTAAACCTCTGTTTTCATTTAAGTTTCTCTTCTTTTGCATCTTTAAGAAAATGTTTCATTTGTATTTATTCCTGTTACTTGCTATATATCCTTTTTATCTTTAGGTAGTACCCAACCACAAACATCAGTCATAATTTAGTAACCCTATTGTACATTCATTTGTTGGGTTTCAGTGACATTATTCTTTGAAAATATATTTCTATCATGCCCTTCTTAGCAGGTCCTTTGATACGTTAGATAAAGACACCATAGCTTGGTGTGACTGAAAGAACGTGGTCAGGTCTCAATTTGAATCCCAGCTCCTCAGTCACTAAACATCCTCAAGCCTCAGTTTCATCACCTAGAATTTGGGGATAACATGTACCACCTTCCAGGATGGCGTGGAGATTAAACACAAGTAACACAACAGGACATTGAACACATATTAATCCTGTCCTTTTTAAAAAGTAGCCTTGATCAATCCACATTCTTTTCTTAATCCTTTTCTTACATGGGTAAGAAAAGAAACTGTTCAAAGGAATAATGTAGCTATGTAAGTTTGGTATTTAGACAAATACTGGGTAAGTTTCTGGAATGTCAGTTCAACTTTGTTCCCACAAGGACAGGAATATGTGAAGGAAGATGCTATGTATATTTCTTTCTTCTTCAGTCTGAACTAGCTTATCATCCCGCCACTTAGAAGTCTGCATTTGAGCAACATAGCTGGCGGGGTGGGGGGCATCTTTCGTATTTTTCACTGACTTCTACAAAACCAACCAAGTCAAACAAAACAAAAGCCAAACTAAAAAAAAAACTATCTTTGAAACTGACTTAATACCATCCTTTAACATCTAAGATAATGCTGAAATAGAATTCAGGATGCTAATAATGAGTAGTTAGTGGAAGACACCAAGAAAAAAAAAGTCATATTTCTCATATTTCTTAAAAAAAGGTAGCAAGTTCCTTCTTGGCTAGAATTGGTTATACTTTAACAGAACAGACTTCAGTTTTCACAGGAACAGTGTTTTGCGGTGGCCTTAGGTACCCATATAATGCCCACGTATCAGTACGTGTCACAAATGAACAAGGATTTCAAGTGACTTGTAGTCTGCCTGCCCTCAAATACAGGAAAAGAGGAATAATTTGGATTTAGGGGAACCACTAAAAGTTTTCATATTCTAGTTTGACCCTCATTAACTATCCTCTAAAAATCCAAAGATTCATTTCCATATGACCCTTACCCAAACCTAGAGACAGTTCTTCAAGCTAGGGAAGGCTGGGGTTAGAATGTCACTGCTGCTGAACAGTCATAGGCCAAGCCTAAATGGAGAGTCTCTATTACAGGGAAACCCCATACCATCAGCCAAATAAAAGCCGTCTTCATATCATACATGTCTTTACAATATTCCGTCCAGGCACCGCCAAACCTTTCACTTAGAGGGAAGTAACTGTTTTACCAGAAGACATTATTTATCTTTATATGTTAAGTTGAAACGCTGGAAAAGGACCAATAGACCTAAAGAGATGCAGAGAGAGCCGGTACTATTACATCAGGGGAACAAAAAGTCAAATTTTGAATAAAGCTCAGATAATACACAAAGGAGAATAAAATCTGAGACTTACATTGTGTGGCCCCACCTGAAAACGAGGGAGAGAAATGTAAAGCTCCCCTTCCCCTGGAAACATATCAAGCTTCATGAATGAAAAGCTGTGTTTGGCAAGAACTGGAATTCTGCATCTGTCAGGCACAATGCAGAGTTCGGGCTGAGTGGCACTTGGAGACTGCTCCTTCACGCCCTCGTTCCCACCTGATGATGCCACCCATTCTGTACCTGATGACAGATACGTGTCAATCCCACAGGGTTCTGGAACTTGGCACATACCAGATCCTCCTAGGCCAGGTTGCTTAGATTTCTGGGTGCTGTGGGTCATCCCCCAAACCTCAGGGTTCAGATCTGCTTTGAGGAGGGAGGACAGCAACAGGTAACATCGTGTCTTGCTGATCTCTGCTTCTCCCCGGAGAGGGGAACAAGCATTCCAGGCCCCTAGAACTCAGACTCTCCCTCCTCTGCTACCTTGGCCTTTGTGTCTGCAATCCCTATTAAAATACCAACGGCAATCTTCTCAGAACTAGAACAACTCTTCCTCAAATTTATATGGAACCACAGAAGACCCTGCATAGCTAAAGAAACCTTTGGAAAGAACAAAGTGGGAGGTATCATGCTGCCTGATTTCAAACTGTACTACAAAACAGTATGGCATAACAGATATATAGATCAATGGAGTAGAATGGTGAGCCCTGCAGTTGACTAAGACTGCTGTCTGGACAATTGGCTTGTTCAAGGTTTTGCACAGAGGCAGGTGACAAAACAGCCTGGGACTTACCCAGACTCTGTCCTCTCGGTCAGGCCCTTCCAATAGAGTGAGAGGCCTTTCCTCCCAGATATGATAGGCCAGAGACTTTAGCTGGGTCAAAATCTCAGAGACTCGGAGGCATCTTAGCAAGTGGTGAAACTGGACCAGTGAATGTGATTTTGACAAATATCAACAATTTTCTTAAACTAGAACAATACCAATTAGGAGGTGTTTGCCCCTGTCACCTAAAAACAAAGATAGTCTTTGGCTTTCTACTGGGCATCAGTATTAAAAGAACCTTTCTTTCTATCAAGTAACAATAACTACACTGTATGTTGAAATAGGGTTTCCTGATTAAACTAGAAAAAAAAAATGTCTCTTTCTTAAACCACAAGGGGGCAGGGTGGATGTGCTAATGTATATATTTTTAAGTGAGTTGTGCATAGCCGATTATAGGGACAGGCAGACAAATACAGATTCTTTACAAAATCTAGCATACCTGGATTTTAAGCCTTCCAAATTAATAATGAGAACAGTTATGCTACAGTTTGTATGTTATGTAAAGTTTGCAAAGCCCCTTCATTGGCAATATTGTGTCAGTGTGATACTTCGAGCCTGCCTTCATTCAGTGCTTAGTAAGTAACCTTCACAAGTAGGCTGACATTCCAAAGACAGCAGTGCGGTTCGGTGGAGCACATGGCATGTTCAGTTGCTCTCCGCTGTGGATGCTGAAGCGGACTAATTTTAGAGAAGAACAAGCACACACACTAAAGGATAGATACAGTAGGAAGGTTAAATTAGTAGGTGCCTCATGAGGAAAATCTAGTGGATAAATATCAGAATATTAAGTAAGAGAGGGCCCAAAACAAAGTTTGATGACAATGAGAAAGGAGAAAGATGCAATAATAAGCTTAATAAGTGTTATTAAGATGCTGGTGAAAAAGAAAGATGAAATTTTGTCACATCTGTCGTAGGAATCAACTTCCCCCTAGATGTCGCAGCCTGTTAGACACAACCCTGTGAGTTCACCAAAACTCTCTGTGTACTTGTGTTGGTGGGGGAGTAGGTATGAAAGCAGGGAGGGCATCCTTTTGGGGGATGTGTGGTCAAGGAAAGCTCTTAATTCTCCTTGTTCTCAGCCCTGTACCTCTGTGCTTCTGACTTTTCCCTCCTTCAACCATCGCCGTCTCTTTCTAGCAGGTGTGCAGCACACAGAAAATTCCAGGAATTACGCCATTATGTAGCAGGCACACGATACAAACCTCTTCAACACAAACATACACCCTCCACTTTGGCTTGCTGTGGTAGCATAACTATTATACCAATTCCTGATGTTTCTTCTCCCAAGCTGTTCTGAATGGAGAAAAGTAACTTCAACTCTGCAGTACAGAAGAGCCCTCCACACCCTGCCCAGAGACACAGGCTGGTCAAATGAACCTGAACTGTGTGTGAGTCCGTCATCATCACCAGCAGGGTGTTTCTCTGGATCAGCACATCAGCATCACCTGGGAAGATGTTGCCCATTCCAGACCCACTAACTCACACCCTGGGGCTGAGACCTGGCAACCTGTGTTTTAACAAACCCCGGCGGGTCGACTACTCATGTTTGAGAACAACCACTCTCACCACATGTAGTCTGTTCAGACAGCTGTCAAAAAAAAGGGCTGGGAAAATTCCCAGGGCCAGTCATTTGGCAGAGTGGAGGGGTGGGAGAGGTTAAAGCTGATGGTGCTGGAAAAGTGTAAAACAGCCTGTCCAGTGTCCTCTGAGTCTGTGACATCGCATGGTGGGTGACAAGTAAAACTGTCTTTCTGAGTGATGATATAACAGTAGCAACCCGTTTTTCTGATCTGTTGCCAGATGTCCAGGTCATTCCACATGTACAGTGAGAAGTCTCTGGATTTCACATCCCCACATCGAAGCAGCGCACTCCGAACTTTCTCTTATCTGAACCCCTGCGTTGCTCACACGCCACAGATACTCACGCACAGAGAAGTCTCACCCGCTAGTTCTGGTACGAAAAGGAGGCTGTACTTAGAAGACACAGACAGGGCCTTGCATTTCTCCACCCAGAGGTTCTGCTAGATCTTATATTTTGTAATAGGAATTAATAAGAAAACCTTACAAACCTAGGTGCACCTGTTTTATGTATTCAATCAACGAGGCTTTGTTCGAATCCCAGAAGAATGGAAGCTTCTCCTCTCGAGGGTATTTACAGCATGACAGCTCCAACGTAATTTCAAAACACTGGGCCCAGATGTAGTTATAGTCTTGCATTCCACCTAAACACAAGCATATTTAATCTTTGTTAAGGTCTAAACTTGGAGTGGAGCCAAGCGTCCCATACCTCGAGGACACGTGAACCAGGCAGTTGCAAGGAAAATACATGTAAACAGGAAAAGATGAATTTGACATATTAGCATATAAAATCGGGGCTTTAAAATTTATTACCCAGGCATGACCAGGCAATCCTGAATATTCCCATGTGGGTAGCTTGATCACAGCTGATTGACATTCAACTGTGCATACAGTTAAGTGAAGGGTGGGAGAAGGGTCCTATTTGGTACTCATACATTACAAAAAGGATTCTTCAAATTATATTTCTTCCCTACATTACATTTTAAACAGATGTACACTACTGTGAGATTTCTTAAAAAATATTCCTACGAACCATTTATGAATACATTTATCATATAAAGCTAAGTACACTAATTCAGAGGAATAATCATGGCCAGCGTTGACTGACGTTCACTATTGCTAAGTACTGAAGAGCTTTGTAGCAACTCAATAAAAGTCTCACAGCAATTACTGCCCATATTTTACAGATGAGGAAACTTTTTTTTTTTTTTATCCTCACCTGAGGACAGTTTTCCATTTTTTGTTCAGGTAGAGTGGGAGGGAGAAACAGAGGAACAGAGAGAGAGAGAAACATCGATGTGAAAGAAACACATCGAATGGCTGCCACCCGCACGACTGACCAGAGCCGGGGACAAACTGCAACCGAGGTACGTGCCCTTAGCGGGAACCGAACCCGGGTCTCTCAGGACCACAGGCCGACGCTCCAACCACTGAGCCAAACCGGCCAGGGCCAGATGAGGAAACTTAATCACAGATGGTGAGTAACATGCCCAGGGATTCCCGCCCGGGGATGATAGGCCAGGGCACAGGCTCCTGCTCAAGGCCCCGTGCTCGCACCCCGGACATCAGACTGTTTCTAGGAAGGAAAAGGCGCCACGCTGCCTCCCAGGGAAAGGCCGAGGCCGCGGCTGCCGGCTCGCCGTGGTCCGCGCTCACCCTCCCGTTCTCCCCTCCGGAGAGCCTGTTTGCAAAGGGCTGTAATCCTGTTTCTGATTTTCTAAGACACAGAACTTTTCCTATTTTAAAATCTCTGAATTGGGATGTGTCTTAAATTTGATGGCTGAAAAACACCATCGTGTCACCAGTTTGGCTGGAAACAGTTTTTTCTTTCTTGATAGTACATCGTAGTTTACAAATCAGTGCCATTTTGGATTTGATCAAAATATGGTAACTTTGAAGGAAATAGTTGCTGCCCGATTTTAATTTATTTTACTTGATATCTGCCCAATAAAATGCATATTCCCAACTCCATCAGGATATTTGGGAAGTACTAAAGTAGAAAAAACTTTTATGCTTAAAAAAATGGTTAAAATAACCCAGCCAATGTGGCACAGTGGTTGAACATCGATCAAGAGGTCACCGGTTTGATTCCCGGTCAGGGCACATGCCTGGGTTGCGGGCTCGATCCCCAGTGGGGGGCGTGCAGGAGACAGCTGATCGATGTGTCTCTCTCACATTGATGTTTCTCTCTCTCTCTCCCTCTCCCTTCTTCTGTCTTTAAAAATCAATAAAAATATATTTTTAAAAAATGGTCAAAATAAATCAAAATATTATTTAAATAGTATCTGTGTAGGTCCAGATTACAGCCAGGAAGAATTTCCCTGTCCTTTCTATATATGTTTTTTAAATAAGAGTTTTGTATTTCTCTCTGATCTCATTTTCACCGTGAAATAGAGGAGGGAAAAGTGGAGAGAGAAACAAAACACAGTGCTTGGTGGATGGCCGTGTCTCCGGTAGATGTAAGTGGTAAAGCAGGTGTGCAAAGCATGCAGGACTGAGCATGCCAAGTGTGGAGAGTGTGCACCTCCAGGTAAGGCCAGTCAGGCGGGCTGACTAAACCGCTCGGCTGCGCCTGAATGCTTTGTTGTAAGCTCCTTAAAGGAACTGGCTCTGTATGCTTTTTTTTTTTTTCTCAGAAGGCTACACAGCTTGCACACAGGCACACTTGGGAACAATTCCTGACAGCAAGATTGGGTTCCTAGCTAATTCCCCACACATCTGGATCTGTCTTGAAATTACACACAGTGTACATGAAGGACAGCTGTGCCATCGGGCAGGAACAGTGATGAGCAGGGATTAGGCTGAAGCACTGGGGCAGAGGGGAGGCTGTACCTGGAACAGCAGAGAGAAGTCTGGATGCCATGGTGGCCAGCTGGCCCTGCTGCCTATCACTGTGGTCTACGCTTATGTCTATTACCTGGAAAACTGGCCGAAAGCTGCCCAGACACAACAGACCCAGCGTATACAAGACTACTTCATGGCCTGTGCACCCAAAGTAACAATGGGAGAAGTGGCCTGTATGCAGAAATGTGCTGTTGACAGGGTCAGGCAAACCAGCCTGCAAGGGGGCACTTTCCACTGCGGCCGTGGAAACCCAGCTCCAGCCCGCTGTCTTCCCTCTCATCCTTCCGTCCTAGGTTCCTCCTATAATCTTAGTTCCCAGGCGAGGCCGAGTTCGACATCCCTGGGCTTCTGCTTATATTACTCTTTCTGATAAGAGCATCCCCTGTCCCTGTTCCTACCTGGCAGTCTCCTTACCTCCCCTCCCTCATCTGCTCCATCCTGTTCCAAGGCTCAAAAACTGGAGGCCCCCTTCCTAGTGTGTCCAGCCTACAGAGCTCTTTGGTTCAACCTGCTAAGTGGCTTTAAATCAGCAGACCTCATGTACAGATCCGGCTTGTTTTACCAGCTGGAAGATCGGGCAGTACTGGGACTCACTGAGGCATGGCAGTAATTACCTGGACCTAAGGAGCAGCCGTCCCCATTAGGGGAGACATAAGTATTACATTTCTCCAAGGTCTTCACTGCTCCCTGTTGTATTTTGGCTTTGTACCCCAGTACTCAGTACCTTTTCTAAATCTCTACTTTTATTCTAATTATACTGCTATTGCAATTATTTATTTGCATATCGCTGTTCCCTATTAAACTTGGGGTGAGGAGCTATGTCCTGTTCATCTTTCTCAGCACAGTTTCTGACTCGGTAGAAAAGGCTGAACAAGCATCTGAACGAAGGCAGGCAGCCTTGGCAGTGAGGAGCACCCCTGAGCCCCTCTCAAAGGACCAGTCACCCGCACTGCTCTTGTGATCGAAGGGACCACTCTGTGCCTAACGAACTTATGACGACTGCTGGGGTCAACAGACACCAGCGGGTACCTCTGGGTGCAGACAGTAAGAAGCATGGTAGAAATGAAGAGAAACTCACCTTTGAGTGGATACCAAGAGTATCCATTTGTAACCCCATTAGGAAAATTCATTTTGTTTTTACACTGATCTCCTTTTCTCATGTTGAGATTTCTTGAAGCGTAGGTATTTGCAAGATATTCAAAAACATCATCATCCGGGGTTAAGCTCCGGGAGTATGACGACCCAGTTGCTGTATATGAAAGACAAACGGAGACCTTTGTGTTGACAGTAGAGTACGAGGGAGCACACAGGGCAGATGTCACACACAAAGCTCCCATTTCCTAGAGAGAGTCCTCCGCCCACTTCCGGGTGCTCCCTCCACTGTCCTTCCTAGTGTTTAAGGAACACAAGGTGACATCACACAAAAGAAGCCACCGACATGTCCAAACTCCTCCTGAATCAGCTTAACAGTTACATTTCCTCTTAGTCACTCGTGCTAATTTCTGGAGGTCAGTCAAGTGCCCTGAGGTGCTGTAGGGGTTAAATGAAGCCACCATCATACTGTATTTGAAGTCCCTGGTACATACCTCATCCTGCAGAGTTTTAAGAGGAGTCAGCAATTATTACCCACATGATTAGCAAAGAAAGGTAAGTTGTTCTAGTTTTATTTTCTTTTAGCCACGTTGCCTCTTGTGAGATCATCAAAATCCCAATTTTACTATCTCACTGATGAATGTCAAGTCATCCTGCTGCTTGTCAAGTCAGCCCCATTGTCCACCTACGGTTTATAAACTGCAGGAAGGATGGCTCAGGGTTGAGAAAATGAGGCTCTTTCTACCCTTGCCAGGGAAGTTCAGTGGGGAGAAGAGTTTGCAGTTTCACTCTGGACTTACAAAACCAGAGCCAGCCCGTGTTTGCTTACCTGCAACACCATTATCAAATGGGTAACTGGCCACCAGGGCACCACCGTGGAGGTTTGCAGAGAGGACAAATGTCTCTGTTTTCAGCCATTCCATGATTGCCACAGTTTCAGGCTGCCTTGATACATTATTAAATTCAAAAGCATCGGGGAAATTTCTATTCAGGTCATAGAAGTTATTATTTTCCCTTTAAAAGAAAGAATTTTTTTTTAGGGTTTACTGGTAGTCTGTGAGGGGGTGGATTTGTGCAATGTGTAAACCTTTTGTTTGGGCTCCAGGTGGTGGCTGGTTGCCTTGGCAGTCCCCAGTGAACCACCTGGCAGTCACACAATATGTGGTCCCCCCTCGTGTGACCTGCTCTCACCAACGGGACAGTCACTACTGTGACGTAAGCAGGGTGTGATAAGTGTTTCCATTTTGGGGGTTTTGCTCTTGGAACACTCCTTTTAGAATCCCGAGGTCCCAATGTTAGCCATGTGGGGAGTCCACACAGAGGAATGAGGAACCCAGGTGGCAAATGGAAGTGAGACTCCAGACATACGGTCCCAAGTTAGTTGTCTGGGCCCAAACCCAGCTGCAAGCCCAGACATCGCGGCACAGAGGTTAGCCATCCCTGTGCTGCCCTGCCCAAATTCCCAACTTACAGAGCTAAGAGTAAATAAAAAGGTTGTTTTAAATCCTGAAATTTTAGGGTGGTTTGTTACAAAGTATTTGATAGCAGAATCCAAGAGAATGTGCTGCTTCATACAAATGCATCTCTGAAAAAGGGACTGACCTTGTTTAAATATGCTAGAAAAACTGGAAGGGAATCCAACGGTGAGATTTTATTTATTTTTGGTAAAAGCAACCAAATTTTAGTTGCACAAATATAAATGTATACTAGACATTTGAGAAATCCCAAACTTCCCGAGGCAGCTTGAAACAAAAGAAACTGTTTTAATTAGAAGTACGCTTCCCACGCTGACAGCGCTCTGGCAGACATAGTGAGCATCCCTGAACCGCCGCACTTTCTGCAAGGAGTGTGGCCAGCAACAACCCCACAGAGCAACGGCACAAGAAGGGCAGGATTCTCTGTGTGCACAGAGACAGTGGTGCTGCGACAGGAAGCCGAGGGGCCGTGGTGGGCAGACGAAGCTGATTTTCCATGAAAAGGCTGAAACTGCACAGAAGACTGTGCCGAGGCTCGGATGCATCGAGCCTGACTGCAGACCAGAGAGAACGCGGGCTGTTAAGAGAGGCAAGCGGTTTAAACTGGAAGGAGGTAAGAAGAGAAAGGGCCGAGTGATCCAGTTCTATGCTTCATAGTTGGTTTTATTGTGAAGACAAAATCTTGAGGATCTATTCACTTAAGAAAAAAACCAAAAAAAAACTACAAGACTCACTCTTTTTGGTTAGTTTGTGTACTGGCTTAATACATCAAGTGTAAGTATTGAGGGCCTAGGTACTATGCTAGGCCCTGGGGATTTAACAGTGAAGAGCAAAATGAGCAGTATTCCTGCCCTCGGGTAGCTTACAGTTTAGACACTGAACAGGAAATGAGACGTTAAAAATTGTTCTGCGCAGCCCTGGCTGGTCTGGCTCAGCGGTTAGAGCGTCGGCCTGCGGTCCAGAGAGACCTGGGTTCGGTTCCCGCTAAGGGCATGTACCTCGGTTGCAGTTTGTCCCCAGCCCTGGTTGGGTCATGTGGGTGGCAGCCACTCGGTGTGTCCCTTTCACATCGATGTTTCTCTCTCTCTCTCTCCCTCCCACTCTATCTGAACAAAAAATGGAAAAAATTGTTCTGTGCATAGACAATGCTGGTGATGGGGTTGGATGGGGAGGAGGGTATCTATGGGGGGAAAAAGGAGAAACATCTGTAACAAAAATAAATTAATAAAAATTGAGAGAGGAAAAATCGTTCTGTGAAGGTAAAGTGCCAGGTAAGGTGACATGAGCGTAATCAGGGACAAAGGCCCGCCAGAGGACTAGCACAGGAGCAGGAGGGTGGGCGCAGGAGGAAAGCCACCTCACTCAGGATTCTACTCTCCATCCAGAAAGCAATGGGCAGCGGCCTGAAGTTTTCAGCACGGCAGTGACCTGGCCCCGGGCTATGAGATGGTCGGTCCCCTAATCCTCGCACAGGGCCAAGGGATACTCTCTCACGAGAGCCTTTCCGCTGGTTTGTTTTACTTTAAATAAAGATTGATTAGTCCATCCTTACCTTCCGTTAGTGTAAAAACAGTCAGGCTTTCTGACAGCTTCGAATCCATCTGGGTTCATTGTAGGCATGATGTGTATCCGGGTACTATTGATTAAATTGGTGATTTCGGGGTCTTTTCCATCATTGGTTACAAGATAGTCAATTAAATGTAGCAGCAGCTCCCGCCCTACAGTCTGCATGTGGGAAAGGGGATATTATTAGGTCAGAGGAAAACAAGGAGAATAGTCCCCAAAGCACAAATTCCCCAACAAGGCACGCCACACATGGGACATGATACCAAAACCAGGTGCGACAGAGACCTCTGCTACTCAGGCACACTGACACTCCGGCAAGCGGCAGTCAGTCACGGGCTGCTGAAAATTACTTGTTAGTAAAAGTTCTTTTAAAAGTTAATAAAAAATTACCCATCTGTAAATAATTTCCTTTTTGAAAAATAACTAGAGTAAACCCAAAACACTAATTTGAAGACTATATGTACCCCTATGTTCACTACAGCATTATTTATAATAGCCAAGCTATGGAAACAGCTCAAGTGTCCATCAATAGATGAGTGAATAAAAAAGCTGTGATACATTTACACAATGGAATATTACTCAGCCATAAAAAAGAATGAAATCTTACCACTTGTGACAGCATGGGTTGACCTAGAGTGTATTCTAAGTGAAATAAGTCAGACAGAGAAAGACAAACACCATAAAATTTTACCTATATGTATGTGGAATCTAAAGAGCATAATAAATGAACAAACAAAGTAAAAACAGACTTATACAGAGAACAGACTGATGGCTGCCAGATGGGAGGGGTCTAGGGGGCTGGGTGAAAAAGATGAAGAAATGAAGACGTACAAATGGTTGTTACAGAATAGTCACAGGGATATAAAGTACAACATAGGAAATATAGTGAATAATATTATAATAACTATGTATGGTGTCAGGTGGGTACTAGAAATATCTAGGGGAACACTTTGTAAAGTATATGACTGTCTAACCACTATGTTGTACACCTGAAACTAATATAAAATAATATTGAAAGTAAAAAAGAAAATTAAAAAATGGAAAACTTTGTGTCATTACCATTTTGCTAGATATGTTTCTAATGTTCATGAAAATGAAAGCATGAGTATGAAACGAAATGGTCATCACATCCACCTACAATATTTCTGTACCCATGATTGGTAAACTGAAGGCCTGTGAGAGTCTTGCTTTACAATTCCCAAGGGAGAGATTTACTACTTTTCTTACTAAAAAAAAAAAAGTAATTCACATTTCAGCCTTATTAGAGAAAAACGTGATTAGGCCATATTACTTTCTCCCTGTGACCCAGGCTCAGAGTGTTTCTGAGTAAGGAATGTCCGCTTCTTCCATAAGGTCAGCGCTGTCGGGGTAGGAGATCGAGGTTGCAGCAGGGGCTGAGGGCCAGAGCCGCAGAGGCAAGGCTGTGGGCAGTGGAGGAAAAGAACCTAAATTACACCTCCCCTGCGGGAATTCATGGCTGTGACAAGAGATGAGTAATTCTTTTATGCCTCTCACTGGCAAGCAAGCAAGGAGACCACATTTTATGAATTCATTATCTGAATAAACAAAGTAATTGGGACTAAGTAAGTTGGCAGATGCGAATTGTATATACACTGGGTTTCCAGTTCTGTATTTGGAAGCAACCTCCATGAGCCATTTACTGGCTCCTCTAAAACCAGCAGAAAAGGGGCTGGATGTTCATTTCTAAGGGTGACTTTAAATGTAGAAATGGTTTATTCAAGGAGCTCTCTGGAAGGGGTTGGGGAAGAGGAAAGGGAGGAGGAATCACAGATGCTGAAAATTTCAAATGCTGGTTGGAGCCCGTAGGACGGTTCAGTTAGAGGGACAGATCAGGAAAACCCAAGGCCCATCTGAGTTCCAAGTCAAGCACAGAGGGGAGCCCTGTCGTTCCCATGTGGTTCTGAGTGTGAATCTCCTGCCCCCTGTCTGAGCAGACATCCTCAAGCATGCCACAGCTCAAGATAGGAGTTGGCACTGCACTCCATTCAACCACAAGCAAATGAAAACAAAAAAGAGTAAAAAAGCTATGATTAAGCTATAAAACTAGGCTAAGCAACTGTGGTAAAACGGGAACAGAATAGCATGTAAAAGTTAAGGTTTATAATTAACAGAGAGGGTAGAGGCTGGGGCAAGGAAAATAGAGGCGAGGGGACTCAAAGCACCAGTTTCTTCACTTTTCATAGCAATGGCTTGTAAGATACTATCAAAAATTTTAAATGTTTTATTATTTTTTTTCTTTTTAAATTTTTTTTCTTTATTGATTTTAGAGAGGGAGGAAGGGAGAGGGAGAGAGAGATAGAAACATCAATGAGAGAGATCATCGAATGGCCACCTCCTGTATGCCCCCCACTGGGGATCGAGCCCCAAACCTGGGCATGTGCCCTGACTGGGAATCAAACCGGTGACCTCTTGGTGCCTGGGTCAATGCTCAGCCACTGAGCCACACTGACTGGGCTTAAAATATTTTAAACGATTACAGTTTCAAAGATTTTCATAATGGTTTCGTGACTTTAGAAGAATCTTCTGATACTTAATTTCTTATTTTGAGAAAATACTTATCAAGTACACCAATTATTTTAGTGTCACTTCAATTTTAATGTTAAATCCAAGTAAAATTAAATTGCACACTTAATTATCTATTTAAAAATAACATGTAATATGACACATTGCATTTTATATCCTTTTTATCCCTTTCTCTTATTACAGGGATATATAGATGTCTTGAATGATGTCTGGCAAATAATATGATGGTTATTTTTTTAGTGATAGTATTCTAAATAATTTTTATTCCCTCTTATTTTTCTAGTGTCACTTTTAAATTAAAGAAAACCTATGCTATTGAAAAAATAAAATCATGGTTTTTTCCCAAGGAAAAAAGTATGTAAAAAAGATATTTTCTGTTTGTCTCCATATGCCAAAACAAATCCCAAGTTCTTTACTGCAGAGGGTAAATAAAAATCTTGGACATACAATAAAGCACTAACGAAGAGTCGGATCATTTTAAAATGCTGAGGTAAACAGATGAAATTTCAGAGGAGTTCAACAAAGTCCTCTCTTTTTTGGTTGGGCCATATTTTTGCTGCCTCTGTATTAGCAGATTTATGCCAAATAATATTCAAATTAATTCTTCCCAACCTTAATATAAATGTCTCAAACACTCATGTTTTATGTATAAACTTCCCTTCATTTCAAATTAAGTCTTTGAATATGAAACCTCAGAGAGTCCACATTTTAAGAAAGAATGTGGTCAAAACGGTGGCCAGCAGCTTAGCCAACCTTTAGTTCAGCACGTCCCCTCCCTCTTTGGGGGAGCGCAGAGTCCCTGGAGGCTCCCCAGGTACCGGACCTGACCAGAGGGTGCACACAGCCCCTCCGGGGGCCTTGTGCTCACAACAGCCGGCAGGGGAACCAGCAACAGCCCAGGACCCAGAAGGTAATGCTCTGTCGTGTTCATTCGATTCAGTCAAGCCGGAGTTTGCTAGGTAGATACATCTGAGTGTTTGAGCTCTGTGGGAATGTTTATAAACATGCAGAAGTGTTTGCAGCCGCGTCCACGACCTAGGCAGCGTGCTCCGGAGGGGAGTGCTCCGCGAGAAGCGCCCGAAGCTGGGTGTTTGGAAAGGCCTCACCGGCTGCAGCTTCTGCGGGAAGGAAGCCTGTGGGCTCTGAGGCGCCCGGTGGTGGTACAGATTTGATTCATTTGTCTGATTGATTAGCTAAACCCTTCTTCTTCAAAGAACCTAAATATTACAGTATCTAGCACACTTTGCCTGGCCTCCCGGAGCCTGGGTTCCATCAGCTGCCCCTGTGGTCCCATAACTGCACCCGGGGCTCTCCCGACACTGCTGCACACTTACCAAGGCTGCCCGACCCTGACTGGCCGCCTTCCCCTCTCCACCATCTAAGCCTGCGCAGCAGGGCCTGGCGGCTTTCCCTGCAGCCCTGGAATCTAACCCAGCTCCTGGTGCATCATGTACTCAAAAACTAGTGTTGACAAATCCATACAAGGTGGACTATTCCAAGGAGGAACTTTCGGAAAATATGAGGACTTCAGGCCCTTAGTGAGGGGAGATGTACAAATGCTCAGGTTATTTCATTGGAAGGATTTTCAATACTGAACAAACTTTATAGGGGTGGGCTAACAAGTCCCGTCATGCCGAGGACTCGGGATTTCTGGTCGCCCCAGCCCAGCCTTACCAAAAGGAAGTTAAATAAAATAATAATAATAAAGAAAAGGATAGTTATATGAGGAATTAAATACATGTCTAAAAGGAACTAGATACTTCATCTGGAGTAAAGATTAGTCCTGTCTAAATCCAAAAAGAAAGAATTAATGATCCAAAGCCTCACTGCAAAACTGAGGACATTCTGCCCTCATCTGGGATAGAGGTGAGAAATAAAAACCTGGGCCCTGGCCGGTTTGGCTCAGCGGTTAGAGCATCGGCCTGCAGACCAGTGAGTTGTGGGTTCAATTCTGGCCAAGGGCACGTACCTCGGTTGGGGTTCAGCGTCAGCCCTGGGTCATGCGGAGGCAACCAGTCAAGGTGTCCCTCTCACATCTATGTTTCTCTCTCTCTCCCTCCCATTCTATCTGCAGATAAACAGAAAATATCCTCGGGTGAAGATTAAAAGAAAAAACCTGGAAGAGGCATTTGGAAAGACAAGCTGTAGTGCTTTAGTTTTTTGTTTTGTTTTACCAAGTTTGGAACCTCAGCACATTGACTATACACGCAGATTGTCCAGGACAGGCGCAGTTTCAGATACTATGTTCATGGAGACATTAAAATACCCTCTAATACAAACATTTAGACATACAAACTACATCTCATAAACTGTCTCATATCTAGAAGGTGTGTGAAAATCATTTATATTTTCAAGTTGAGAAATATGGTCACTATTATCCAGGGAATGTTTTTCCCTTCAACCTATATATCTGAAATACACTTAACTATATAAATTAATGCCCCCAAATGTGAAATTCTAAGTGTGATGTGGATATTTCAAAAGTCTATACCCAATGTTTAAGAAACAAAAGCTTTAAAAGAAAAATCAGAATTGGCCATTCAGTCAAGCTTAACAAACATATGGAACACCTACCCCCAGGCTACTTACGACCATGGGCCCTGCGGTCAAGGGCACCTTGTGAACTCGGCCTTTGTCCCTTACTTTGCCTATTACTGGATTAGTTTAAATCCATTGGCACTCAACTTTTAAAGCACATAGTCAGGTCGCACTTTAATATTTCCATTAAAAAGGAATTAGACATGTCTTAACAATCTACACATTACCCAAGTATAAGGTTTTTTTTTCTACAAAGTTTTAAAATAACGGGGTGGAAGATAGGCACAAAATGAAGGGGGGGGCTTGAGGAAGGAAGCAGCAGCGACTTCCCAGTTCCAGGGCATGGTCCCAGTTTTCAGTAGAGCTCAGATTGTAGATATTGGGTTACAGTTTACTGCAAAGCCAGCCAGTAGCAGAATGAGGTGGGGGGCAGGTCAAGGACCCCGCTCCCAAACACCGTGACCGTTTGCAGCACGAGGGAACAGCCCGTCAGTGCACAGCGGTATCATCCCTGATGGTTAAAAACAGTGACTAGGTTCCAGGTGTGGAACCTAGTTTGCATAATTCAACCTAGAATCATGGCATCTACAATATAACGCCCAAGGTACGTGCAAAGAGGGACTGGATGGTCTGGAGAAACACCTGCTAGTCTTATTAAAACGAGATAGGTGGAAACCCAGAAATATTTCTCCCCGTTCTGAAACAGCATGAACATCAGGTGACAAAGCTCATCGAATGTCAGCTAGCTACCCAGTGTGGCCCCCAGCAGTCAGGGAGGGGGAGGCAGGGGCAGGAAGAAGAAAGGGACAGAGACAGGTGACTGGGAAATGTTTATTCCAGTGTTTCTTGAGCTTGCTACCTTTGTATATAATGAATGAGCCCAAATCCTGTCATCAAATGGCACTAGGCATCCATGCAAACATAATTAACCTGATCTATATGTAAAAATAAAAATAATACAAACAGAACATTCCAAAAGCAGCGGAGAGAGTACAGGAGGCAGAGCTCAGGGCTTCGGCTCTGGGTTCAGACAGCGTATGACCAACACAAGCCTGGACTCCCTTCCAGGTAAATGTACTAACAACCTGCCTCCTGCAGAGCTGAGCAAAAGAAGCGACACCCACAGAGCACTTTGTGTAGTCCGTGCTCAGTGCATTTGGCTACTCGCCAGCCTGGTCAACGTGCCATAGCGAGCCAGTGTCATTGAAAAGACGTGAGCCAATGGCAAGGTGACTGAGACAACAAGAAAAAGATCATACAGACAAGAGTAGATTTAACTTCACTTCTTCTGGGACACTACTTGTTTGCAGATGGGCCATTTTAAGTTGATTTTGCTACTGTTTGCTTTTTGCCTCACTGAGTGTGGCAGGCTAATTAGCCTGAACCCTCGGCATCAGCCAAATTAACCCATCTTCACAATTCCTAAGATGTATACTTGCCAAAAATAGTTCACCTAAATCCAACAAACCTTTAGATCTAACTTCTTGTTGAAGGAAACAGAGGAACTAGAAGTACAGGTTCAATGAGACAATAAGGAAACAAAATATCTGGGACGTGGGGCGTTCTGCAGGACAGTCTAGACATCATGAAAACATTCCTTAAATCCTAGATTAAGAGAGATTCAAGGGCTATATCAACGGAATGTGATACATTGTCCTAGACTGGATCCTCATTTGGGCAATTTGGGGGACATTTTGAGGAGAAACTGGAGGAGCTAGAAAGTGAAGTGTAAGGTAAAGATAGGACACAGACTTATTGACATAAAAGGGGAGTTAGCATTAACTTTTAAAATATTATAAATAGCAAATTAGTGTAGCTCATTTGGTAAAAGTACAGGCACGCACTTGGCATGTAAATATCTGGAATGATGAATAGTGAGGAATTACCAGTCCCAATTTTGGGGTGGTCAGTACACAATGTTTCTTGTTTGTTTATCTGTATTTTTTCTAAGGAGCACATATGTTGATTTTGTAATAACAGATTATTTTTAATTTAAAATGATCGGATTCTAAAACCAAGTATAATGAGATAAGGTAAACATTCATGGCAGGTCTAATCAACAGAATCATGTCTTCCTGATGCTGCTGAGGCCACTGTCATGTGGTGTGGCATCACACACACACGCACACATACACGTGGGTGCAGGGAAAAGAGGAAACGTGTATAACACTGTGGTTAATCCTGTCCACCAGCCTACCCTAACCCGTGCACATGCGCCCCCTGCTGGATTCTCCACACGGCTCCTAGGAAAGCATGGACCCTGAGGTCAGCATTAGAAGTCTGTGCCAGAATAGAAAGGACTCCATCCAAAGAAGGTTAAGAAGCACTGCCCTAAAATGTTAACTTTTTGCTTTTTAATAGTGGGTTTGGAAAATGTTCTTTCGATTCCAAAAGATGTGGGAGAAGAAGGACGAGTCAAGTGGCACCTCGCCTCGGTGACTCCTCCGCTCGGGGTGGAGCCTCCACTTCGCCAGCTCCTCCGATGCCAGGAGGGCAGGCTGTCAAGATGACAAATTCAGAGTAACAAGTTTCTCAATGGCCCCAGCGCCCGCAGACACTGCTCCCGGCTGGGACACACAGGGGGTAACAGGACTTTAGGTCCCTCCACCCCAAAACATACTAAGACTTTTGCGCCTGCTAATCTCAGCCCTCAGATCGCAGTGAACCAGAGAGCCCTCATCAGATGGGATACATTAACTCCCTGGAGAGCAAGATGCCAGACATTTGGGGAAGTGCATGGAAGGAGTAAACACATTCAGAGATGAGTGAGGCAAAGAACTCTTGCTTACCTTTGGAAGTTTTGGTTCAGAGAATTAATTTTTGAGCAACAGGCTGCAACCTCTGAAATACCACAAATTGAATGAATACACGACTGAAGTCAATGAGTGTCATATGTCTCATTAAAAATGGATTCCAGGAAACCTTGATCAATAGGCCAGATAGTGAAAGGGAAAGGAAGTCTGGCTGCTGTCTGTTATGAATGGTGGTTTTATTAAAAACAACTTTGGTCAGATTCCCAGTGAGATTGTCTTTTAAAGCACTGCCCATTGTGCTCAAAAAGTCACGGGGGGGGGGGGGGGTTGAACTTCTACCCACCTACAAATCAAGTTCAAAGATCAGCCCCTTTCCTGGGGCTCCAGATGCAAGCAGCACCCTCTCTGGGCAGGACAGGTCGGGCAGCATGCCTGGGAAGGGTAGGCTGTGTGTGTCACGGGGGCGGATCCTGTTCCTGCAGAGACCGGTGTAGGGGCGGGTCCAGCCAGGACTGGAGCCTCAGCAGTTGACTAGGGCACGCCACTCACACTACTGCAGCTTCAGAAGTGTTTCAACAAGTTAGCTGGTTGGGTTTACTGGAAATGCATTTACTTTGACATCACTTCAAGTTCAGTGTGTTTCACAGGATGTTACACATTATTCCTATGTAAACTTTCTTGAATGTGATGACTGGGAACTACCTTTGCCTTCTATTTGATCGCCTAGTTGTATGGAGTCCTGGTGAACAGAAAAGACTACAGTTGTCGTATTCTTTTTTTTTTTTTTAATCCTCACCTGAGAACATTTTTCCTTTTTTTTTTTTTTTTCAGATAGAGCGAGAGGGAGAAGAGAGAGAGAGAAAAACATTGACATAAAAGGGACACACCAGGGCAGAGGACAAATTGTAACCGGGGTACGTGCCCTTGACTGGAATCAAACCTGCAACTCATTGGTCCGCAGGCCAAGGCTCTAACCGCTGACCCCAACTGGCCAGGGCCAGTTGTCCTATTCTTAAATACTCTGAGGAAATAAGGGAGCATTTCCAAATGCCTAGCAAGAATGACAGGGCCGGTAGGAGCGGTAAAAGGGTATTTTGAAAAATACAAAATAAACAACAGAAAACAAAAGAAAAAAATGGAATTCATTCCTGCTAAGTTGGAAAAGAGGCAAGAACTGACAGCATTCGCGTGTTTGTAGAAAGTGGATATGACAGCCCTGGCCGGTTTGGTTCAACGGTTGGAGCGTCGGCCTGCGGTCCAGAGAGACCCGGGTTCGGTTCCCGCTAAGGGCATGTACCTCGGTTGCAGTTTGTCCCCGGCCCTGGTCGGTTGTGCGGGTGGCAGCCACTCGATGTGTCCCTTTCACATCGATGTTTCTCTCTTTCTCTCTGTTTCTCTCTCTCCCTCCCACTCTACCTGAACAAAAAATGGAAAAATGTCCTCGGGTGAGGATAAAAAAAAAAAAAAGAAAGTGGATATGACAGAACCCTAACTTTGTCTACACTTGAGCACTGAAAACATTGAGTATTAGATAAAGCGCAAGTAACAAAGGCACTCAAAAACCCAGATATTATGAGTTTGGACAGCTATTTGCGATCTTCTGGTTCCTTTGAGTTGAAATGAAATGTAGCTTCTTTGCTGGGTCCCCTTGATGCCGACCAGGAAGGGGGAATGGACCAGGAAGGAGCTCGGGTCCCTGGCTGGCAGTTGAGTCTGGGCACGGTTGGTCTTCCAGCCCGGATACAAAAGAGGCTCCAGTTACCCTCAAAGGACACAGGTAACAGCCAAATGGCTATGATGGTTGTTGGGCCCTGGTTCCTGCAGTCTCTCAGAAGGCCCAACAGGAAGACCCTTCCAGGTTCTTCCTGTAACCAATGATGCTGCCTCCTTGGCAGGTACACAGAGCTCAGAAGACCTGAGGGGAAGTTTCCGTCGTGACATTTCACATATTCAAGCCCCACACGTACCTCATCTCCATGCATATTCGCCACGTATTTGAACTCTGGAATCCCAATTCTGTGTTCTTTTGGTGAGCGTCCCACAACAAGAACCCACAGGTGTCTGCCTTTATAGGGAAGAAAAAGATCGAAAAATAAGCTGTCTTTTCAAATGACAAATGAACTCTGGGAGAATGACCAAAGGAAACAACCGATGCTACTTCTCCCCCCATGAATGTCTCATGATGACTCAAGTTCATGACTAACGCCTCTGTGCTCAAAATACTCCCGGTCGACTGCCAGCCAAACCCTTTCAATTTAGCACAAATATTTACCTTACCATTTCAGAATGCGATCCTTAGAAACTGAAAACTTGTTACACTACGTAGATCTTATTTTTCCAAAATGCTTATATACTTTGCTCTCAGTTTCTAGTGCTTTATAGATACGATCTTGCTAACTTACACAATTACACAAACTTAAATTGTCGTTGATGGTTGACTGGGAGGGTGTCATAACTCTCAGGGCAAGGAGAGTCGGGGGTAGAGGGAGGGGGAAGCAACAGCCAAGACACAGGTAATTCAGAAGGGAGCTTGTCCTTAAGGTGAGAAATCCTGAACTTGTATTCAAATGCTGATGGGCCACAGTGCCAATGTGCAAGAGTCTTGTAAGGTAAACTGGGAACCAGTGTATCCTAATTATACCTCCAGGAGAACTCCTAGGTCCTAACTCTGTCACGGATGGTGTGACTTGGGTAGGAAGGGCAGAGACTACAGATGACTGGGGATTCGCTTTGTGCAGACATCCCAGTTGGTACCCCGGTTCGTATGATTTCACTGAGATGGGTTTTTAACCAAACTTTACAAATGAGAACGCTGATCTTCATCCTCACCCGAGGACATTTTTCCATTTTTTGTTCAAATAGAGTGGGAGGGAGAGAGAGAGAGAGAGAAACATCAATGTGAAAGGGACACATCGAGTAGCTGCCACCCACACGACCCAACCAGGGCTGGGGACAAAGTACAACCGAGGTACATGCCCTTAGCGGGAACCGAACCCAGGTCTCTTTGGACCGCAGGCCGACTCTCCAACCGCTGAGCCAAACTGGCCAGGGCAAGAACGCTGATCTTCAAAAAATATTAAGCAAACTGCTTATGATCACACAACCAGCCAGTAAGAGGCTGTGATTTGAGCCCCAGAGCCAAGACCTGAATCCTGCCTGGTTGACTCGATTCTAGCGCTCCTTCTAACAAAGACTGCCAGCCTCACAGGAGGCTTGGTTTCCTACTCAGGAAAATGAAGCGCTCCCTCTCAATTCTATAAACAGCTGGCTCTTGTAATGCAAATTTCTTAGAATTAGAGACTGGGGATTGTATGTTTAATATCTATCACATATATACAAACTTCAAATATCTGATATCTAAGCCTTCTGTGGAATTCAAGAGCCCAGGAAAGGGATTTACCAGCTGCAAATGGGCTAAATATAGAACAGGTTTCCACAGAATTTCAGGTCTATTCCTTAAGTCAGGGGTCCCACAGGCTGGGAACACTCAGTTCCCATGAGGAACCCAGTGAGAAGCAGATACAAACTTATCTTTTCACCATTTATTCTTAGTGGAACAGAATTTTAGGGAAATTCATCATGATAGGGTGATGGCTTTAAATTTAGTAACTGCAGGAATTCTTAGAAAATAACCCCAGAATGCAGTTTATCTGATTGATGCCACCTGTTCAGCTCAGAATCTTCATTCATACATGCACTTTCTTATTACTGCTCTACCCAGGCATGTCCCCAGGTGATCAGACCTACAGATAAGGAGGTCACACTCTATGCCCAGTGTGCACCTGACCTAGTGGAGCAGAACAACATGCAAACACACCTACACTAGGCTGAGACAGATGATCATGGAATGGTGTGTAAGGTACTGTTGTGGATGTAGAATAAAAGAAATGGTTAACTTTTTCCAAGGATGGGGATCATTTAAAACTTTATAGGTATAAGGTATGTTTATTTTAAATCCTCACCTGAGGATATGTTTTTATTGATTTTTAGAGACAGAGTAAGGAAGAGAGAGAGAGAGAAACATCAACATGAGAGCGAGACATCGATCGGTTGTTTACCAGCCCCCCACACGAGCCCTGACCAGGGATTGAACCCACTACCTTCTGGTGCACAGGACAACGCTCCAGCCAGCTGAGCTGCCCGGCCATGGCTACTGGTGTACGGTTTTAGATCTGATGTCTGAACAGGGTCCTGAAGAGTGATTCTGAGTTTGCCATGTGGACAAATACAACCCACCTGTGCTCTCGTGCCAGCACCCTTTTATTAACCAGAACTTCCCTTCCCCAAAACCCCAGTCCTCAGGTCCTCTGGAGTTAATGGCACAAAGTTAACATTTGCAAGTGAGCAAGGAAGAGCTTTCCTGAGGAGCGAGCTAGCAAACCTAGTTTCCTTCTGAGGAATTCTTTGGGGTGGGTATTAATGCTTTCTTTTTGTATCCTCACCTGAGGACATTTTTGCCTTTATATACAGATAGAGCAGGAGGGAGGGAGGGAGAGAGAGAGAGAGAAACATCGATGTGACAGAGACACATCGACTGGTTGCCACCGACACGACCCCAACCGGGGCCAGGAACAAACCGCAACTAAGGTACATGCCCTTAGCAGGAACCGAACCCAGGTCTCTCTGGACCGCAGGCTGATGCTCTAATAGCTGAGCCGAACTGGCCAGGGTGGTGTTAATGCTTTTAAAGCTAGAACCATCACAGGTTTGTACAGAATATGGTCTAATCCCCTCATAGGCAAGGGAAAAAAATCCAATATCATCTCAATATCATAGTATCTACCAATTGTTATATTTATCACTCTATTTGTGACAGCTGGCCTGCCACACAGAGGAACATGTAAGCCAACAGAAACCTGCCCTGACATGGACAGCCAATATGATCTGGTTTATGGAAGAAGCAAAACCAAACCAATAAAACCTAAGCAGTACTTTGATGGGAAACTAACTTGAATTTTAGCACAGATGGCCCCTGAGTGAACTGCAAGATGAGGAAGTCACCTTGAATAAACCTCACTGGCTCAAAGTTTAAGAAAGAAACCAAGCAATAAATCTGGAAGATATTCACGCAATGCTTTCGGAAGACAAGCCTCTTGGAGGATGTTAACCCCCCTCTCCAACAAACACTGGTTGTCTCTCGCTCAGACTAGAGTTAATACACAAAGGACAAACTATTTACTTTTCACAGCCTGATTGCCAAGGTAAAGGTAATTTTTTTTTTCTTTATTGATTTTTTAGAGAGAGAAAGAAAGAGGATGGGAAAGGGAGACAGAGAGAGAGAAACATTGACGAGAGAGAACACTGATTGGCTGCCTCCTGCATGCCGCCCACTGGGGATTGGACCCACAACCTGGGCATGTGCCCTGACTGGGAATTGAACCAGTGACCTCTTGGTGCATGGGATGACACTCAACCACTGAGCCACACCAGCCAGGGTAATTTAAACAAGATTTTTTTTCTATCAAGGTTGGAAAGGTTACCTTTATTTCCCAAAGTTCTTGCTAATACCAGCAGGACTAAGAGTTCTGAAATGCTTGGTCTCTTTCTCCTCATTACAAAGTAAACAAAATTGGATTTCAAATATTTCAGTATGTGTATTCAGGAACTCACTTGGGGCTTGTTACAAATCCCAGTGATGTGACAGGGGTGCCCAGCTGGGTTTGCTTGGAGGATTGGAAAAGATTCACAAAGATCCACAAGACAAGAGAGCAGGCGTTCTAAAGGAGTTAAGAAAGTAGGAGAAGCTTGGGGAAGTAAGTATAGCTTCAGCGGGTGGAAATGGGAGGCGCATCATTCCCACATCAGAATCACCTGGGTTCCTATAAAACCAGGGCCGGGGACAAACTGCAACCGAGGTACATGCCCTTAGCGGGAACCGAACCCGGGTCTCTCCGGACCGCAGGCCAACGCTCTAACCGCTGAGCCAAACCGGCCAGGGCTAGAAACATACATTCTTGAGCTCCACCCCTCAGGTACTGAATCAGAAACTGGGGGTAAGGAATTTGTGTTAAAAAAAATTTTTTTTTTAAATTGATTTTGGAGAGAGAGGAAAGGAGAGGGAGGGAGAGAGAGAAACATCTATGTGAGAGAACATTGATTGGCTGCCTCCTGCATGCTCCCCACTGGGGATCAGGCTCACAACCTGGAATTGAATTGGTGAGCTCTTGGTGCATGGGTCGACGCTCAACCACTGAGCCACACCAGCTGGGTGTGGAATCTGCCTTTTAATAAGAATCCAGGGGATTCTCATTCGCATTTGTTTAAGAACCACTGTAACCAGGAATGAAGTTGAGTAGTCTACCCACAGACCCTGCTCTTTTCTTACCCACTATACTGCACTGCTCCAGTCACCTAAGAGCAGGAAAATACCAAAGACAGCCCTGGCCAAATTGGCTCAGTGGTTAGAGTGTGGACACAAGGACTGAAGGGTCACTGGTTGAATTCCCAGTCAAGGACACTTACCTGGGTTGTAGGTTCAATGCCCAGTCCTAGTTGGGTTGTGCTGGAGGCAACCAACCAATCAATGTGTCTCTCTCACATCGATGTTTCTCTCTTCCTCCCTCCCTTCCACTCTATCTAAAAATCAATGAAAAAATATCCTCAGGTGAGGATTAACAAAAAATAAAAGAAAATACGAAAGATAAAAATCAAAGAAAATTCACAGAAACATGACCCCAAAGACAAAATCAAAGAAAATTCACAGAAACATGACCCAAGCTTGCTATGTACCATTTCTGGTGCTGAGATATTTTTCTTTCTCCTCACCAAGAATTGGAGGGAAGAAGCTGAGAAGACACTGTGAGGAGTCTTTGAGAATTTAAAGCTATTATTGGCTCCCTTTGGTGTGCAGACCCAAAACTGGTTTGCAGAATGGTCTACCAGCTTGTTTCCAACTTGCTCTCTACTTAAGGACACAGGCAAGCCCCAAAGCTGTGGAGTCTGGAGGAGGTGCACTTCAGGGAATCTGGCCGCTACGTGTTTTCCCTGCAGTATGTTTGGCTACCGGTCAACAAAGAGGCTAAAAAGTAGGGTGCATGAAGTGGCAACAGAAGGAAAGACATAGAC